GTACTCCGTCGTGCTGTAGTTCTTGCATACCGTCTTGTTGCACCTGCTGCAGACGTAAGCGATATGCTTTTCCAATGATTCAACAAAAAAACTAAAGAATTTCACTTTGGTTTGGCACGCAAAGTGTGTCAAGAACGAAAAAGCAGTAGCGTAAGACTTCTTTTACTTCACCTGCATTTATTTTTCTTGATTTTTAAACTGCTTATACAAGATGTTATCTGTATATATCTTCCATTGTATACCTTTTGCTGCAATGAATGAAATAGAACGTTTTTTACTAACTCGTGATGCTGCGTGAATAAAGAATCTACTTGCCAAATTAGAAAAAAGCTGCTACACAGAGTCAAGTATTGCATTGTGTTAGACGTTACCTTTTTTGCATTTAAAGGTGTGTCTCCTTCTTACCTGTGAATTCTACTACAATAATTCGTAGTTCTTCGGCGTCAGTCTACCTGACGAATGAAACACATCGGGGACGTTGCTTGAGTTGTGCGGTAAAACACAGGCATCAGGGCTGAAAATCCGCAGGCGCAGAGTGTTACAAGTATTACAAAAAGGTCCGACTCACATCGTTTTTGAAAGTTGAAATTTTTTACTTTACAAACCACATAGTATACGAAAGAAAAGGCATTTTAATAGTAAGACTACTTCTAGGAGATCTCATTTTTCGGTTAACTACTGCTTCGCCAACAGTATCTACCACTTCTCAAGCGCCTCAATCAAGCTCGTTTGCTGTTCAGTTTCAAACGAATTCTACCCAATAAAGATTTTCTCGGGTAATAGTTCCTTATTTATTATTCTCAGCTATTACACTTGAAAGAATACTGGGTCTCCACCGCTGCTTTCGACTTTTGTCTTCATTAACAGTAATTCATGTGACCGCCTGGCTTTCGCTGGTGAAATTATCACTAATGGTCAGTTTCCAGACAAAGTGTTTCCTTTATTTTTTCGCGTCCGAAAATAAGTAACCATAGTATATTTGAACGCAACCTTATCTTTTTGATAGGATTAGGCAATGCATCTTTAAATACGTTTTTTAACACTATTTGAGAAAATTCGGCTGTATCAAAATTTATTTTGCAGTTTACGACGATTCTTCGACTTGATCGCTGTTCGTACACACAGATGAAAGCACGTATGAAAGTAAAGCGAGATACTACTACAGTTTTTCAATCTAAGCGTCCTGTGCCGTATGCACTTCGTCCTTTGCTTAAAAAAGAACTGTCTCGACTGATGCATTAAAACATCATATCCTCTGTATTTTATTCGCAATGGGCAACGCTGATTGTAGTTTTAAAAAAACGAAACGATAAATTTGGAATTTGCGCTGATTTCTCAACTGCACTCAATGCAGCGATTGATATACATTAGTTCCCATTCCCTACACTTGACGACATTTTTGCAACACTTAATAATGCTGATTTGGGCTTTTCAGATACGTATTTGCAAATTCCAGATGATATTGATTTGAAAAGGCTATTGGTAATTAACACGCATATCGGTCTCTTTCAGTACAACCGTCCACCGTTTGTCATCAATTCAGCGCTAGCAGTCTTTCAGCCGATTATTTCTCAAATGATTTTCGGCATACCCAAGGTTGTTGCTCATTTAGATGATATTACGATTTCAGGTATCAATTTTGGCTACTAGCAGTATTGACGAGCCATGGGTTTCATCTTCTGGATACCTAGATGTAGGAAATCTAGATTCTTTATTATATTTGTACACATTGCATAAGTATTTTGCAAATTCACTGTAAAATTTTGGACTGTTAGGCATCAATGACAGCTGACTTCCCAGATTAGTGCATCATATCGACCGGTACACTTGAAACAAACAAGCCAACAACACAGTCTGAAGACTCTAACAGAGTAATTTGTATTTTGTTCGCTCGAGATTACACTTAACACAAAGTTGTGAAGAAAACAGAAGTTAAAAATATTTTATTTTTCTCCTCACTTTAATTAACAAACTCTACATGTTTTCAAGCATTTGATGTTCATGAGCTTCTTATATGCCAAATTGAAACAAAGCTGTTTGTTTTGTGCGCAATTTGTCAACTCGTCTTCAGAAGTACCTAAAAAAAATTTTGATTTGAATTAAGATGAATTAAAAAATTGCAGTAATTTGTTACCTCCGCAGAACTTGCAGCTACGACGCCAAGTATTCCCCATAAGGTCTCCATAGAAGGGATCATGACAATAACTCAAGCTGTTCGCACATTTGGTATTAGTGTCATTGCAAGTTTCTGAAAAATCAAAATAAGCCTAAGTTAAGGTAACATTGCCTTTAATAAAGCTATGAATTTTACCTGGGCAAAATTTACAGGTTTTGCGGCATTGTTGTTTCATCAGGTTTAGGTAAGCCAGATCATAGCAGTACGATTTCGCAGTTACACAAGTTTGTAGAACATCGTTACAATCACCTGAACTTGTTTTGCTAATAGTTACAACGAGAGAAGAGCAACAAACGGTATTTGAAATTCGGCGTAAAAAGCAGCATAAGTAAAGCTTGAAAGACTACGTAATTCACAGTGTCCGCAAGTTTTCTTGCAACTCTACTTCACGAAGTCATAAAAGAGCGCACCTTCACAGTACCGAGCACTCTTCAGGCACTCGGAGTTCTCATTGACGCAGTCTCCTCCTTAATTTGTTTGGAGTAACCATGTGCACACCATCAGTTGTGTTAAAGAAAAAAAAAAA